TATGGATTTGATATTGAGAGAAAATGAAGCTTCAAATAAAATAAGCATGAAATCAATAGATTTTTCTTTTACAAACACAGCAGCTATGCATAATCTTCCCTTTCAATTACTGAATAACTCGAAAACTAATTGATTTAAATTGCATTGCTCAGTAACCATAATCATATGTTGTGTAAGCATTATGAGTGCTTTAGCTTTACATGTGCCTTCTGGTGAAAGATCTAAGGGATAATATATTTCCCATCATTTCAGACTTATGATTCATATTTGTATTTTATAAAAAGCATGTTTAAATGCAATACACCCTAACTGAAAGATACATTTTGTAATATTAGTCATGTAAATTCAGTATTTTTTTAAAAAAAGGTTTCATTTCTAATCTATTTGATATGAAGACTTTTCTGAGATTTCAGCAATTTCAATTGATCATTATTTTAATGGCAACTTTTAGCAGGTTATTTGGGGAGGGGTATAGAACCAACAATAATAGTAAGGAACAGGAGCGTATACGTATTTCTCGCTGACACCGTGGATGGGATACTTTGATTGGAACAAAACCTATTGATTTGACAATAAATTACATCTCTTTAGTTAATAAAAATGGATTCAATGGGTGTAGATAAACACCTTTCCTCCCTCAATCGTTTCTCTGAACAGAACCATTCATTTAAACTCACACAATTCGTCGCCTGCGATTGCACTTCATACCATGTCATGTCAGAAAGACTTATTTTGTTTGTTTATTTTTACGGTGCACCACCAAGCTTTTTACAAATCCGTTCTCAGATTTGCTTCTAATAAGAAGTTTTCATATCCCACGAGGAAACAAAGAAAAGTAAAATCAAATGCAAAGTGAGGATCTTCAGTACAAAAGCTCGTAGAATAATTTACTGACAACTTCTGGATGTGTATGTGTGTGTGTGTATGGGAGGGGGGGGGGGGGGGTGGTGGGGGGGTGGGGGTGGGGGTACGATGGTGGTGGTGGGGTGGTGGGGGTGGTGCTTGGAGTGCAGTTCACACTCTATTTGTAATAATAAAATTATCTGGTGCATTAGGCACAAACCATTTTTTAAAAATGTACTTTTTTAAATAAGACGTTAAAATATATTGCTGGGAGTTCTTATTGGATCGATGACTTGTCTGTCCACCTTATTCGTTTTTATTAATTCTACAGAATAAAATGCTATGAAATAGGGAACGTCGACCAGAGGTTTATGTTTGGTAAAGCATGTGAGAGGGGGAAAAAAACAAACGTATTACTTTTGTTATTCAAATCGGACTCCGGTGCGTCGTAACCTTACGAAATTCAAAGCAGTGAGTTCAGTAATAAATATTTGATGCTAATGGAGCACAGAACATGCTATGCTTCAGAGAATATCCAGCGCCTTAATGCTGTTTGGGGTAAACTCCCTGACTTGCTATTTTTCTCGAACGTAATGACCTGAGCAGAATTCAATATGACTGAGAGACCCATCCGCCCTATAGAACTTGTGGAAGGGGAGAGTCCAAGAGTGAGGTGAAACACAGGTCACAGCGTCTAACAAATATTAAAATGTACTCGGACGCATGACACGCCTGGGTGTTTAACAAAGACTGTCAATGTATTAGATTAATACTAAAACTGGGAGAGAAAAACAGAATGTTCGTAGGGCCGCCCCTCGGCCACTTCTTAAATGCTGCAATGCATTTCCTAAGGAAAAAAAATAGCCTGCTGCTGGAAAGCTTGACTCTTTAAGTAGATGTTATCAGAGCTTTAAAAAAAAACAAAGGAGAACGAATTTGCTTATGTTCAAGCTGGTATTTTCTGTTCGATTTTCATTTTTTTTGAACAACCCCAAAAAAAAGCATCGTGGTTTGCTTGGTTTGTGAGAATAAGATTGGTAGAGGAAGGGGGAAAAGGATGTTTTTCGTGAGGGTATGTATATGATTTAATGCAATCTGGAAACTAAAGAATCACGTAAGACCAACTTTGTGACACATTTAGCCTTGAACTAACCTGAGAACATTGATCAGTGAGAGAGAGAGAGAGAGAGAGAGAGAGAGAGAGAAGACGAGTGGGAGAGGGATTGGTGTTTGTGAGCAAATCAGATTTAACCTTATGAGCCAAATCCTAAGGATTAACTAGTTTGGACCAATTTGTGGTGCGGTTTTGAAATCACTAATCGTTTAATTTATCCTGTGTTTTCTGGACAATTTAATTTTATTGGTTTACTATTTCATTTTACTATTTATACCAGTTGTTTTGTCATTACGTCTGCTTATGATTATGTGCTTGTTTTTTTGAAGAAAAATTAGCTGCAGTGCCAGACCTCCAGATAACTCAGAAGGGTTATAAACAGGAGGGTGCAAGACACCAATCCCCCCCCCCAACACAAACTCTCCCATCCTGCTGCCGTTTGCATCCTCGGTTAGGATAGCAATCTGCAGCGAGGTGCCTTTGAAATGCACAGCAGATAGGCGACAGTAAATGTATTTATCTTCCAAACTTCCGAAATGTCGACATTTTTATTACAGTAAGAAAAACAAAGCACCAGGACCCTATTTTACAAAACGAAAAATACATCCCATGTGTGTGTTTTGAGAATACCTTGCGATTCCTTTCAAAATGCTTTTTCTATTGTGGGAAAAGTCATAAAGTTTCAATGAAATTCTTAACTTTAGCTGCGGAATTGCTATCTTACGTCGTAAAATTAAGGCCACGAAACACGGTTACTATGGACTTGGAAGTAAGGTAGTTTTTTTCAAAAAAAATTACAGAATCTATTTAGGTTCGCCGGAGATTTAAAGCGTCTCTCTGATTGATGTTTCTACCCTACAGTATTTTCACATTTATTGCCACTCGAGTCTTTTGATCCACTTCGCTTGTTGTAAACAGCATCCTCCTCCCATGAACATACCGGGTTGAAGCCAGTTGGCAATTATGCTTCTTAACCGTAAATGATTTGAAACTGGCAAAGTTTCCGAAATGTTGTGAAGAAGTTACCACGGCGATTCCATGGGTTCAAATGTATTTCCCTTTTTTTAAAAAAAAAGAGTTGAGGCGATTCATGCTCCCATTGGCGCTAAGCCACAGAACTATAAATCAGCCCAGTAAACCATAGTTACACTCTTTTAGAAAAGAATATCGAAGAAGGGAACATGTTTTTTTCTTATGTACTGTCAGAGTTATACGGCCAAAGACTCCATATATCTAATCTCGTCCAGTGCTCCTGTGCAGGAGGTTTGAATAAATTCAAAAACAACTTTTTTTTTGCCCTGGTTTCAGTCGCAAACAAACTTTTACAAATCATCACACATCTCATCTGCTTTAAACTTGTTATAGCCGTTATTGGACGGAACTCCAGTAAGTGAGTCTCTGCGCTGAATTTCCTAAAGTCTTCCTAAATATTTACATCAGAACTGTCTTTTTTAAACCTTAACCAACCTGTATCATTTACATTTCGACGTGAAACTTAATTGAATTGCGTTCTACTCAATAAAATACGGGAAGGAATTCCTTCCAAATTGTCTGTCTATAAATTCCTGCCATGCAAATAATGTCCCGGGGTGATTCTATATCATATCAGAAGTACAAAACTGCTGAAACTATGACTTGCCTGTCCTCTATATATACCCTGTAGATCCGAATTTGTGTTGACAAAATTGTGGTCGCAAATTCGTATCTAGGGGAGTATGTAGTCGACACAAACGCTACAACATTCCTTCGGAAGAACGGAAGAACGTACAACATTTAGATCCAGTTTTTTTATTTCTACAAATCGCTAATGTTTTAAAGAAAAGCAGCATCTGCATGCAGGTACCTGTCTCTGTCGTGTGAAATTATGCGCAGTGACGGTGTGCTATCCTCGTCCCTCTGTTATCTTGTTATAATAACTCTTAATCCTCCGTTGTGTTACATTTACTACGTCACTTGAATATGGACTGTAATTTACCTTTTTCGATATTCCCGCGCATTCCTCCGTTTCGAAAAGGTCAGAGCTAAAGGTTTTGCATGTTTTATAAATTAATCATTTCAAAGCTGATTGTATCAGCTCCATGTAAAATGTATGTCGTTCGCTGAATACTTCACGGAATTGTATTGAAATCTCACAATTGCAATAAACGTACATGGAAATCTGGGTTTTTAAAATTTCTTTTAGTTTTTCTCAGGTTTTTATTTAACATTTGAAATTAAACCAACAACCATCGTCTGTGACACTTTTTAAATTCATCTCTGAGAGCCCAAGACCAGGCGCTTGCAAAAGGATAGTCTAGCATTATTTGGATATATTGATCCCTGTATAATTGCGACCAACAAAACCGATTAAATATAGGACAAGATCGGACTCTATTCACATTCCGCGCACACTTTATGGTGATCTACTTAATTGAACATCCATAACTTCGTTTAGACTTGGATGTGATCGTCACCTGGGAAATGATTCGATCTTATATAAGTGTGCGGGGGGTTTAAATGGTGCGAGCAGACTAGTTTAAACAAGAGTTGTCCTGGTTGAAAATCGTCCATCTAATGCACTGCGAAATGTAATTTTGTTGACTGGGCGCCCTGAATTAGTTGATGAATTTTCTATTGATCCAAAGAAGCCCAATTCGTCTTTGCCAGGCAAGCCGTGCGTGCGCCACCCCCCCCCCCCCCCCCCACCCCCACCCTCCGGCCCTGCACAGAGCTTTTTGCACCCGACATTAAAATAAACGAATCACGCTGCGGAAATTTCTAACATATCAGATAATTTTACATAATTTTTAAAAAAAAAAAAAGATTTTTGACTCAGAAAGAATGAAAGAACCATCTGAACGGAGAACTGACAAAGAAGATAAATACTTATACAATGTGGTCGCATTGTGAGCCCGATTGAACTTCTGGCAAGGGCGTGAGCAAAACCTATTTAAAAACTTGTGTGGTTTTGCTAAGTTCCGGGCTCTCTCTCTCTCTCTCTCTCTCTAAAAAAATAGCATTAATATTTGTAATCAAAAAAATGCTTAAAGGAGACGCTCGGAGCATCCAACGCCCGATTCTATTTCCTTATCCGGGAATGGAGCTGGAGCTGCCATTGGCTGTCAGGGTCACATGAACCACCAACTTTGTTCACTTGACAGTAAGTGGGAGGGTTTACGAAACAGGAAAAAACGACTGGGTGGAAAACATTTTTGAGTTATTTTGCATTTCAGATATTAAAGGTCATGAGTTCGTTTTTGATTAACTCTAACTATGTGGACCCGAAGTTCCACCGTGTGAAGAGTATTTGCAGAGCGATTACCTGCCAAGTCAGTCTCCGGAATACTACAGTCGTGCGCGGGAGCCGGGGTTTCAGCATGAGCCGATGTACCCACGGTCAGCGTACAGCGCTGACCAACGCTATTCCTCCTGCAGCAACATCCAGGGCTCTGGCGAGCAAATCGTGGCGCCCAGGGGTCACGGGCAATCGCAGACCGGCCTGCAGGACCACTTAGCCAAACGCGGGCACCACTGTGAACCGGTGACTCCAAGCCCACCGCCCTCTTGCAGTCAGGTCACCAGCAACCAAAACACTTCTTGCTCCAAAGAGCCCGTGGTTTATCCATGGATGAAGAAAGTACATATAAACATCGGTGAGTAGTGTGCCTTCGCTTTTTACCACCTGGAAGCCTGGGATCTATTGCAAGCACCCATTGTAATAGTCATGCTTTAGATTTACAATCGCCTATCTGGGGGTTAGTAATTACATCCTCCATAAATTTTTATTGCTGTACGAAGACACTTCTGGCCATGCGCCTTTGATGTGTTGTATCCTAGCCGCACAGATCGCTTTCTTTGAACACTTACTTTTTTTGTCTTTAATAATAGTGTAGATGTGAACTTCTTTTTTTTACGTTTCCCTTAAATTTTTGATCTAATGCTAATGTTTCCATGCAACCCTGTTATTCCGTATGAGGTTGATGTTGTTCAGTCAGTTGTTCAGTCAGTTATTTCTTTCTGTGTTGTTGCTTTTTGTTCAGTGAACCCTAATTGCAAAGGAGGGGAAATGAAACGCTCCCGCACTGCTTACACCAGGCAGCAAGTTCTAGAGCTGGAAAAGGAGTTTCATTTTAATCGGTACCTAACCCGGAGGCGAAGGGTGGAAATAGCTCATAATCTTTGCCTGTCCGAACGACAGATTAAAATATGGTTCCAGAACAGGCGAATGAAATGGAAAAAAGATCACAAGTTGCCAAATACCAAAATCAGGTCTACAACAGGCTCATCGACTGCTTCTGGAAATAATCACTCACAAGGAACCTCTCAGAATCATGAGGCAAATGGACCAACAGCCAGTTTATAGCTGCCCACGTGGGAAGAAATTCATATAAGCACACAAACATAGGATTTTAACTGCGACACTGTTTATTTATAAGGGGCAAAGTCTAAACTGTAAATATCCAGATTTCACCCCTCCTATTGAACGTACAATTGTAGATAGTAGTTTTCAGAAGAGGCTGGTAAAGATCAATTCTCGTTTCATCTTTAATCATGCCAAAGGCTTCCCATTTGTCATGTTTACTTGGTGGTACAAAGGATGAACCCTATGCCTACGATTACCTCGACAGCAAACGAACACTTTAATAAATGAGGCTCCGTTTCGTCAACGTAGGATGACAAACTGTCTTCTCTTCCTCACAAAACAAGCCTGCACCAAGAAAGCTGAAGCAAAGATTTGGAAAAAAATAGGTCTCATGGTTTAAAGTTTGACATCACTTGGAACACTTTCTTTTGAACATTATTTTCATGTGTGATCCATTTCCTCAAGCTCCCAAATGCATTTCTTTTGGTGCCAATAAAAACGTGTGTGGTTGGATTTTTTGAAAAAAATGCACAAAACCATATGTAGGAATAAATTTTAAGAGCAAGGTTATTTAAAATGTTTTTTTTAATATTGCATGTGATTTGTACAGCAAATGTACAGTACTTGTCTCTGGTCGTATTAACAGAATGTACTTTTTCAGAAAGCCAAGGGTGGAAGATAGATAGATAAGCTGTTTTAGTTTTCTCATCACTCTTTATGACATTCCAGGCTATGAAGTTTAGCAGCCACTACATTGGGCCCATAGGGGTCTGTTTTATCGTCAACAGTCTATGCCCTCACATTGTTCTGTAGACTGTCATCCAAACCAAAATACGTGTAAATATTAATAATTTAAATAAAATTTTCAAGGTCTATATTTTCCTTTGTCTTTCTTACACTGCAATCAATGGATGAGATTTTACCATAACGAAGTGTATCTCAGACCTCAATGCTGTCTATCTATCTATGTGTGTGTGTGTGTGTGTGGTGGTGGTGGTGGTGGTGGGGTGGGGGGGGGTGGGGGAGGGGGGTTGGCGGGGGGGGGTGAGGGGCGGAAACAAAGGACATTAACTCTGCAAAAAAAATGGCAAAAGGGAAGCTTAAGACATGACCAAGATTTAGACTTACAACGTTAAGTTTCCTCAGCTGGTACATCAGTGCAGACTCATGATATTTTAATACGTTTGTTTTTAAAAACAAAGAAAGGATTTTTTTGAAGGGAGGTTTGTCCGTTTAATTTGACTATGTGTTTTCATTAACTTTAGCTTTACGTGCATCGTTAGCATCTTTGGATTTCTCTAATGTTTGGATGTTGAATCCATTTGTTCCATTTTTGAAGTATCTTTCCTTTGTGCGTACGTGTTTATATATTAGAAAGGGATTCGATGGTTTAATGGTTCAGGCTTTGACAAGTAAATAGATAATCAAGGAGACAAATGACCTCTTTTGTCAGATGAAGCTCTGTGTTAATTTTAATTTCTTTTGGTATAACATATTGCATGTACAATCTGGGAGCGGAAAATCACACCATATAGAATATCAGTAACCAGAATTATCAGCTGAGATGCACATCGATGTGCAATGTTCTGATACATTACAATAAGTCAATGCTTTAAGGATTTTGAGCTGTAGGTTCCAGCGTTTTGGTTCAAACGTTTCATTTAACACTACACTGTTGTAAAGTCACCACCGTGTCAGCCTTCATTTCAAATGTAAATCAGAAGGCACTATTGATCATAATAGGGCAAATGTGGTCTTTTTGATAAATCGTCAACTAGTAAAGTTTTCGATTTCAATAGCGCACTAAAAGGATCTACATATTCAATTGTGGCAAAAAGACAAGAAGGAAAACATGAGCCACGATTGCTTTTAAAGACAACGCAAAGATTTGTACTCGATTATTTATACTTATCTAAGAAATCCCCATATACACTATTGTGTGTGTGCGTGTAATCATCCTGGCAGGAATAAAAAAAATCAGGCTTTTTGAAGGCTTATTTTAAATCTTGCACATGTAACATTTTCGTTCTGAAGTATTATTGTAAATATCTTAAAGGCTATAAGGTGATAAAGTAAACCAGTGTTGTCCATTGACTGCCCCGAAATAGGTGCAGTTTGCTTTATTCTCACAGTCACTGGGCAGTCAGTCCTGTAGCCTTCCACAAGCTTGTTCCCAAAGGCTCTGAATACAGGCTATAGAACTAAAGTTCACAGGCATTATTTGTAGCCAGAGCACTTCTGAAAATGCGAGAATTAACTTGAAATCATTAATCACTTCTTTCTTTAAATACTTCTCCCATTGTTATTCAACAGCAAATCTGGACGGGTCGTCTCGGGGAAAAATAGTGAAGCTCCTCCAGTTTTCTTCAGAAATATGTGGGCAGCCTGGGATTTGTCAGTCAGCTTGGACGATTCTTTCTCAGCTATGATTAAAAATCGTGAAAATGCTCAGTTCTCGAGATCGGGAGATGGTGAAACTAAAGGTAACAGAAAAAAAATCATTTTGGCTGACATCATACTGTTTGAATGCTCTTAACCCAGTTGTCTGTGAAGCTACACCGATTCGGAATATCTCCAAACCCACAGTAACATGCATCAATTGCAAAGTCTGGTTCAAAGTTATGGGTTGCTAAATATCTTTTGGCGGTTTTTTATTTCAAAAAAAGCGTTTTTTAAAAAAGCGTTGCATTGAAATAAAACCAGTGCCTGTGTTGGTCAGTCATCGTGCCGGGCAGAAAGGTTCATTGAGAGGGCAACTTTTCTATCCGATTAGCTGTTTTTATACTAGCAGTCTGACCCCTGAAACCCTTGACCTTTAAGACAGGACTCTGTTCTATCTGAACATTCCCAATGCTCAAGGATATAAAACACACCAGGGTTAACGCTCGTTCACTGGACTAAAAATCTGTGCTCCGTTGACTCCAACGTAGCTGTGTTTTGTTAGCCTTTGCTGAGTGCGAGTATCTCAGTTTGCATTTAAAGAAAAAGTAAGTCAATGCACGCCCTGGGATTGCGTATCGTTGGTCTTCCTTTAAAAAAATCATCAATATGAAATAAAGTTAAACGTTGAATGCTCTCCCCCCCCCCCCCCTACACACACACACACACACACACACACACGTTACACACCTTCAAGTGAAGTGTCTTAAAATCGGAGACACAATGGATGGAGCGGAGCCATTGTCTCGTTGCCTCACTTTGTCTAAACGACTGAGCAAAATGTAGAATTGTTGGCGCTTTTACTTGGTTGTAAGGTTGTTATGGGAAATGTGGTTTGTTTCTTTCCAAACACAGCATTTCCCTCTTAAATGCAGTACGTTTTTAAAAAAAAATAAAGAAAGGATCACATTCCCCTTGCAAAAATATGGTGTGTGAAATGTGCGAGCTAATATTAACCTGCCTTCGCTAACCAGTGGCAATTTACTCGAACGCTTAAATGGGAACCTTATTGCTGCTGCTTGATTTACTTTTCCAACCGTAAAACACACACTGCTTTTACCACAATAAAAATAAACAATTATTATCAAGTACAAGTTCTGGAAGAGGGTGCGTGTAACCGAGGCGTAGGTTAAATGCATTACGTTCCTTGGTTCTCATTTTATGATAGATCAATTGTATTTTTATGTAACAGAAATGTAATCGAAGCAGCGAAAGGATCATTCCGGCGTAGAAAAGCCGGAAAATTTGAATTTTAAAATATAAATGAATATCTGGAAATATATTGTATACTGTAACATTCTTTTCCCTTTCGTAAGTGGAATTTGTACTTACATTACACTTCCCGCCATTAATGCTATAAGCGAAATCGATCTTTTTAAAAAAAAACTATTTTTCATAATATTATTAACGAGGTGTTAACGTAAGTATGGCGCACCCAGGAATAATACTTTTATGATTATATTTATATAACATGCATAATTAGTTTAATATTCTTAATTGATAAATTGATGTTTACTATAACGTTTCGGTTCATTTCTGCAACGAAATAATCGTTATTCTTCGCATAAGTTGCCACAATTGATCTTAGGCGCCTGTGTTTCGGGAAGCAGCCACAATTTGTAGGTTGAAACGCGACTGTAGGTATGTACAACTGTGTCGAATCGGTTTCTGGGGACACGTTTCCCATTACGATTATTGTTTTAACATTATTGCCACCAGAAATAAGTGTAAGATCCCTCCCCCCCCCCCCCCCCCCCCACCCCACTCCCGCACACACACACACACACACTGTCTCTCTGACACGGTTCTCTTAAAACAACTGAGATCTTAGAGAACAAAGTCTCCCTCCTTTAAACGTGGATTTCATTCAAATTTTGCTTTCAGAAAGCATATGTTCTGAAGGATGAGGATTTTTACTATGACCTTTGTGTTAGTTAGCGATTGGTTGCTGGCTTTGTAAAGATTGGAGAAGCGACCGTGTGACTGACTGTAAAGTGTGGTTCCTCTTGTGAGGATGAAACAATGCCTTCGCACTGTATTGCCTCAGCAGCTAAGCCATAGGCAGGAAGCAGACGGGAGTTACACAAATCCACTAAAAAGTTGAAGAGGAAAGTCAATGAAATGATAAACTAAACTTGCGATAAAATGCATTAGTGCAACGCACGCAGGGATCCGATAACCCGGCAGCATTACTCCAACTCTGGTGCATATAATGAATCGGTTCCCGTTGCACAACACAATACTATGTAGAAGCATGTGCTGTGACTTGGAAGAACCGAATCAAGATGCGAAATATGGGACTTTGGAAGCTCACAATGTACTTAATACATTTAGTTCCTATATGTTCACACTTGTCCCTAAACCCCAACCAACTTACCACAAATCCTCTGTTGCCCCCTTTGTTTAAACAGAGACAATGAGCCACACCAATACTATGTTTAAGAGGGAGGCTATTAAAGAAACTCTGCTCTTCGAGTGGAAGGTCAGTCTTCTCCTTGGAGTATGAATTTGAAATCCCCCCCTTCCCCCTCAGTCACGTGACTCATTAAATAATTAATGCAGCTGTTGCAGAATAGATATGTATTCGTCCGTAAATCGCCGACATGGTTTCCCTGTGTCTGACGTGAAACTCTACTGTCCTTTTAAAAACAAGCCTATAACAAGAGAGGCTGGAATAAAACAATTTTGGGAAGAGGCACACACCGTGGGCTGGTTTATTGTAAGTACAACCGCACTGCCTCGTGTCCATCTATGTAAATATTATGCGTGTTATTTATGTTTTTAAGATTGCCATAAAATCTGACGAATGGCGTCTTTCTTTCCTTCAGTTTTCTTTTCCGAGTTACCGCGGTGCTACGTTTGTTTATTTCCTTATTTTTCATTGATATTTGCTCGTTTTCCCTCTTCCCTTTTGTACCTTGATTTATTGCAAAATATGTCAGCGCCACTATGGATGCCATTGTGTGTGTAAGTTGTGTGTTGTTTATGTTCGCCTGTGTTATAAATCACGCTTTGAGAATGATGTGCAAGTGATGATATTCAGGAATGAGGAAGGACTGTAATACTCTCCCCAGAGCTGATTATTGCGGGCGATTTGTAGCAATAGATCAGAGGATAATATGAAAGCTATAGCTGGGGGTCTTAAATTACAGTATCCGTGATTACCAATTATGGAGAGTTTTGTATGAATTCTTTAAAACGGAACGTCTCATTGGAATAAAAACCTAGTAAAGGAGGTGCTTGGGGTGACCTGAAATGAATTGTAAACCCAATTTTGAAAATGAGCAAAGACTAACAGACTTCTATAAGGCTCGCTTCTATTATTCTCTGATTGGACGCCAGCCAGTCAAGCTAAAGCCATTAATAGCAACGTAACATTTAACACCGATCGTTAGTGCAAACCTTTATGTTGTAAAATTAGTATAACCCACTGATTGACATTAAATATTAATGGTTACAGTCGGCGTGGACTATCCCTACTGATACACGCGTCTCTTCCAGTAGATTCGGATTCTTTGTCAGCACAACTGTCCTCTTCTTTTCAGGGGCTGCTTAAGATCAGTTAACAATTATGATGATGTGAAAGGTATAAAATATTATTTTTCATTGGTTAAGATATTATTCAGCAAAAGTAAGATTCAACAAAAAATATATAGATATAGAATTTTATGAAACGTTATAGTAATTACGCTAGTTCAGGACAATTTTGACCAACAAGATATATACGATGCTGTTCTCTTATGTATGCAGATATTATATGTATACAGTAAATAAACACATATTTGCATGGAGTGAAACAGAATAGCTACAGAACTTGATTGAAAAAGGCTACTTTGGTCAGTAACACAACGTAATATCTGTGTTTTCTCAATCTGAATAGCAGTTGTGTCCTTTAAATGAGAACACAGTATGAAGCCACAAAATTCCTTCAAAGATTGACAAACTTCGAAGATGTCGATTTTCTTCATTTTCCAAAAGCTTCTGAGAAAAGCAAAAAAAAACAACAAAAAGAAAGCATTAGAAAATCGATCTATGAACACAATTGGATATTGCTCAGCTTCCAAAGCAGAGATGTGTAAATTTCCTTGTAAGTCTGACCCTGGTTTCAATGGGGCTTTATTAATTGATAAGTCCCAGAACCAAAATGGAAAAATAATGTGACTCGATGCCCTCAGCGAAGATGGATCATGTTGGCATTCGTTAACAGACACTCATTACAGAATCCGATTTAAAAATATATATATTCAATAATTTAGGCTAGGGAAAGGCAAAATAGGCTCTTTCACTCCAAAAAAATTAAATCCTTCAACGATGTTTGTTCTGTTGCTTTGAATTTACACCTCTCTTATTTAAATACCGTAACTGTGCTATAAAACAACCCTGACAATGGCGCAGAGATTCACTGAACAAAACCCCACCTCTTCAACGCTTTGTTCGTCAGCTTCTCTTTAACTAGCGGTTCACTGCTTTGTATAGAAATCAAGGAGAGGAGCCAAAACGAATATATTGAAGGGTGCAAACCCCCAATAGCGCAGATAGGACGAAAGACAACATGCAGAGAGTACTGACCAGAACATTTTCCAATTTTATTCCAGCACCACTGATCGAGAAATGCCAGTTCTTGTTTAAATGATCACCGTCTCTTTTTCTCTCTCCTATAGATTGTATTCATCTGCATGAAACAAGAATACAATTGTAGAAAAGTATATTTTAAAAAATTGCGAACGAATTCGAGGAGTGAGGGTTTGTAGTGGCCGGCTCCACCCTCTTACACTCTATATGTTTTCTCCTGCTAATTCCCCCTTTCATCAGTGTTGATGACATCCTTTAAACCGATGGGATAAACTTTAATGTTTTAGCGTCACGAGAACTGTCACGTTTGCACGAAGCCACGCAGTCAAGAGTAAGCGTTATGTTTCTAAGATGGTTATTTAATATAGAGGTAATTATACTCCCCATAATAAATCATGATCGTTCTTTCAGCTCATATACTTTGTAGACTTTGCAAGGCTATTTAAAACTGATGAAAAATTACAATACCTTTTTCTCCCCGGGAACTGTACCAAACCATGACGAAGCAGAGGATTGGACCACGGTGCAACCTACTCATGTTTCCTAATATTTAAACAGTGACATTTTACGTCAACCCCAGAAAAGTCTTTACCCCGTAAATTTATAAATAAAAACTCCTTTTATTTTCTGGGAGCAGTTGTGGAACTCTTCACGCTGTCCCTTAAAGGAGAAAGACAATGAACAAAAAAAGTCAAAAGAAAATTCACACATTAAACGAGAGACGCACGATAATATAAATCACTAAATAATATAAATTCGGTAGAAAATTACCATTTGGAATACTATGTTGAATGGATGTAACATGCCTGGGTCAATATGCGTTGTGTTTGTTATGGTAAAATGGAATCTGACTTTTTAAAAAAAATACATATATATTTAAATGAGGTACGTGAAAGAGTAGTCCGTGAAAGTTCCTCGATTTATAAGTCATAGCGTTTCAACACCTCTCGCCAACTGACCAAATTAGCTATAGTAAAGACAAGTGTAATAAATTATATTGCTGCTCTGCCGAGACCTGTGGATGTTTGCAGTCTAAGACTAAAATAGTAAAATGCTGTGGCCCTAACCTCTGCTCTTGAAATGCTAACAAAAAAAATTAAACCCATTTCCTCTTTTTCTGTTCACTAGAGAATCACGCTTAAAATTTTATGACCTTGTCGTTTTTTATGATTGTCACAATAGTTATTTTCCAAAGAAGGTCTCAAACACCTCCAGTAATCCAGATTTTGGTCAAAATATCTCAACTATTTCCAATCTCCCTACATTGAAACATATGCGGTCCCAAAGGAGACATTATTTAAACTGTGAAATGTGGGGAATAAAACTGGTTGAGGTGGTGGTACTTCATTTACTCGTCACCTAACTTTGAAACGTGATGTTCCGAAAATAATGTTTTGCAAGAATCGAGATTTTTTATGTTAACAAATTACAGAAATAACTCATTGGAAAACGGATTTTAATAAGCGCAGTCAACACTGAATGGGATCCGTGTGATTGTGTATAGCAATAGACCAAACATTTACTGCTTTCTGTCCCTTTGCATATTTAATCTTAGTTTAGGCGAAGGCTGATAGTGAAACTCCTGATTCTGCCCTCCACTGAACTCATATGGCATCACTTTTCTCGTTGCATTGCACAAGCCAGTTCCAATTGGACACGTTTACCCATATCCTTATGTATGTTCCACGGAACGTTTTTCGGATTCTTAGGTTATTGGCAGCGATCTATCTTTGCTTCATGATTGATATTCTATAAGAGATTCTATTTGTTTCTTTTGTAGCACTTGCAAAACATTCACAAACATTCAACAGCAGGTCGCGTGCGTTTTCTGTCTGAATTTTGCGCACCATTATATTAAAACTAAGAGGTATATAAAGTTAAAATGCCTTCCCCCAACGATTGCTAGTTGATTTCAATCCTGTCAGGTAATTCATGATTGGATAACATTCCCAGAATTTTCTAGAATGCGTCTTGTTTCACTGGGGTGCAAATACGCCTATTGGTGTACCCAAACACCTGAGAGTAAATTTCAAAATCCACTGATCTTTTTCCATAGTTCCAATGCAGTGATCCAACAGGTAAGTGAATTTATGTGCAACTAACGCTGAATTCCAATGCAATCAATAATTAATGGGTCATAGCTTGACATCAGAGAGTGGATTTTCCTTTGCTTTTAGTGAACTGTTGCTAACGTGTGGTGTGTGTGTGTAACGGATTAAGACAGACGTGCCACCACCCCCCCCACACACCCCCCCCCCACCACCACCACCACCCCCGTCCCATTTGAGAAGGTGATGAAAATACGTCTGAAAACGCCTTCTCCCCCTAAAACTTTGGGAAAGATCTTAAAACTGTTAAACGTTTGGTTTTAGCGTACGTTTGATGACTATTGACACATCTGAAGTTGTAAGCGACTTCAAAAGCATTTTTGGTTAGGGTGTTATCCACAAGATATATGGGAACATGATTTATGACCGGAGAAAGCTGTGGTTACTTATTGTAGTTTTCGACTTCTTAGTTTTCAACTACACACATACCTTCTTAAAAGTTGCCATAGTTTGTATCTGGCCTTTTCATTTAAAAAATATGATAAGATAACATTTCTCGTAGTCTAGGATTGTTTAATTCTACTTTTATGCATTGAAAGGTGAATTCTATTTTACCAATCACTGCATAAAGGTATCAGTAATCGATTGCGTTGCAATTCTGGAGCATGAACTGACAGTGTAGAAAAATAGAATTATGTCTTAAAATAGTAACAATCATTCCGAGTCTCCTGGGATATTTTGTTAAAGAAAAATATTTTAATAGGCTTCGATTTCCTAAGGCATATTTCTCAGCTAGACGGGAAACGATAACCCTGCCTCTGATTTGAGCAGAACATTGCTTTGAATAACCACCGCCCCCCCCACCCCCCCACCTAAAATTATTTTACATCAGCCTGCAGCCGAATGAAAATCTACGAAATGGTTAATAATATGCCGAGGAACCCAGTCCAAACTGTAGGCGGCAAAATATATCTGCCATTAAACAGAACCGACTGTTTTACTACATTTGTTGGCCTTTATGGTCATGTCTAACAAACCGCAAATCTTGTTCTTTGGTGCCTCTTTTCTTCCTTTTCACACAATCCATTACATTCGGACTAATCAGAAATGCGTTCACATGGTAGGCAATGGGACATTTGTTAAAAAACAGTGGCTTGCAAGCCCCTTAATTAAAGATTAACTGTTTCCTTCTGTATCTCGCCTTTTGTGGTGCTTCTGATCTGGGGGTGTTGCTATTCCGGTTAGCTTCACAGATCAAAGGCCCTCTGTTCAACTTGTACACTAACTCACTGGATCCCTTTGTGGCAAACCACAGACAGCGTTTTGCGTTGTTTCATATTTTATTTATCGTAGTTGTTTTTTTAATTTCCAATTTCGCGTTCATTTCTGCACTTTGAGCTGCTGTGGACACGTGGTGGAGCAGAAAGGGAAATGGGAAAGGAATAAAACAAATTATATACAGCGTAAACCAGGCGTTACGTCACTGTGCCACGGGTCAAATGTCACATTCAGCACCGTTTATGTATTAATAGGTCATATAAAATAATTACTGCAAAAAAAATGCCAGTATATACGATGTTGCTCCTTTTTTTTACACATATAAAATCCATCATTACATTGAAAGTTTTCCCTCAAAATATAATATCTATTAATTATGGGAAGTTATATCTGATTATAGATTTGCAGTTGTAACATCCAGAGATTCCGATGGTGCAGTTCGAATCATAATTTTGTAACTTGTTCAAATCCCTATTCTCCGTGTTTAGTATGAATTGCAGAAGCGAGTTTGCATAATGTTCTTGAGTAAAACCAGTTAATGCGAAAATCTGAATTGTAATTTATGGTTTACAGTTGCGACATAAACTGTGGATTGGTTTGGGTTTTTTTTGTTCAAAGTTAAAAGGGCATTAGCTTAACTGTGAAGCATGCTGTTAATTTTACAGTGTAATGTATGATCTCATTGCAAGAGATCGTGTACTTGCTGTGGGGCAATCTTTTGGCTGTTAGGAATAAATAAGGCGTTTAATTCTGAGGTCCCCCCTATTTCTTTCAAAAGTCTGTGCGTGGGTGTAAACCATGCCCACTATCATAGGCATGGAGCATAGGTTATCAATTCTAATTCGAAGCAGGCTTTTCATATCATGTTCTCTCTGGGGGAAAGAAATCAAAACTGGGTTGCTATAACTGGAGAGAACGTCTGAAAAAAATAGTCTCCAAATTTATTGAACCGGATTACTTTAAAAACAACCTAATTATATTAGTATGGGAAGTTTCAGAATAACACCAACCTACCTTTTTCTTAGCTTTAATGCAGAATTATTTTTTTTTAAAAAAAAAACGACGGAGGTGTAGAACGCATCTGATCCTCGGTGGTCCAGTGGAGAGTTTTGGGAAATGCTGGAAGCTGGAATTTTCAAGGCTCCTTCACGCGAAAAACACGAGTTCAATTAACAATTCCTAAAGTCTGTATAAAATGGGGAAACGTTGACGTACTGACCACGTGGATGCATAATCCAGGCGCATTACTTTGGTGCTTGGATGGAAGGCTTTCGCCTCTCTCTCTCTCTCTCTCTCTCTCTCCGGGCTGTGATCACCCAGTCAGTACTCTGATTATTTACAAGCAAGCCATTTAAAAAAAAACACAAATCGGGTCAGGGGACGATATCTTTTGGCGTTAATGTCTCTTATAGAGGATTATATGGAATCGCAAAGAAGGCCTGGGATAGTGGGACGGATTATTATTTTGGAGGCATTTCAAAACACTTCCCGTTGATTGATCATTAATGTGGTGAGTTATTGCTGTTCACCAAAGGTCATTGAGAGAGAGGCTTATATCTGTCACAATGAGCCAAGACATTCTTTATTTCTTTTCCTTTATTTTCTTCTCCACTTCGTCACAACTGCAGATGCTTAAATATCCTCCTGATACTGAAAAGGCTGTACATTAGTTGGTAGAACAAATTCTCACCGTCTTTTCTCAACTACAATTCCGTCCGCGTGTGTTCGAGAATCCCGTCCTCTGTGTAATATAATAGTAATAATAAATAAACTTTCATCTCGCTTTTCCTTCAGACACAATCGTTTCACCTTCATTTCAGAAAAGAAACGAATTTCAGAAAATAAAGACACAACTACTAATGGTTCAGAAAGCTTTGTTTCACAGGCAAAGTAAATAATGTAGGGCTTTACTGCTTAGCAGAGTCGAATTCGCACCTTTTAATCTACCCTTGCCCATAAATGCCATCAAAAATGCATTTATGGGTACATTTAGCGCTTTATAATTTTAACATATGTTTGTTTAGCAACATATGAAAAATAGAACCGTTCGTTCACTTAAAAATAACAAGTAAACATATGCACTAACCCGCTTCTGAATCCTGGTCCTTTGTTCTATTAAGTGGACTAGGACTTGGCCACATACATACATGTAATCTTTATTATTATGAATCTAACCATTTTCTCCTCCGTTTTTTCACTGTAAGCGTTTCATGCTTTATAAAATGTCTAGGGAAGTAATTCGATAGTAAAAAAAAGGTAAGCATTTCAATACACGAAAAATGTTGACATTGTTGGTTCGGACAAAACATTGATTTAAAACTGTGTTATGTCCCTCACTGGTAATGGTCAGATCAGCCCTGTGTGCAATTTATATCTTCCGAAATCTAGGCCATTGTGTTAAATATACCAACGAATATTTTATTCTTAGTCAGAAACAGCGACGTGCAGAAAGGAAACGAATATATCATTTTTAAATGTTAATATAGAGATCAGCGACAGTAGAATTGTTTAAGGCTGGTACCATATTACGAAGAATTCGTTTTTAAGTGGAAAACCACCCGACGCTTTTTAAACCATTGTAGTTCGTTTGATCAAACTATAGTCAACCGATAAAAGTAAAGAAAAGGGGAAACTGAAAAGTTAGAACGGATTTTTAATGGAAGATTCTCGTGAGTTTTTTTTACTTTGAAGGCTTAACGTTTAATCCATCATCTGCACGGGTCATTGGGTGAAATATAGTAAATAAATTCGGGCTGAATGCTATTATAGAGATGCTATTAAATAGAGATAAACTAGCAGTAATTGGAAAGAGGCAATAAAACTAAACAATTAGTTGCCCTCAATGAAGTGTCGGGTCTAAACTATACATGTAATGCACGACTCACACACACAACAAATCACAAAAGAAAAAATTACGGAAAAAATAGTTTTATTGATTAATTGCGAATACAACTGCACCAGTAATTTAAGAAGAGCTCCTGACCAAAACAGGCATCGCCAGTTATTTAGAATGTAAATGTCAAGACTCTGGTTTGTGAAGTTTGTCGATCCACAAACCACTATGTGGGTGAAAGTACTCGCTCCTGATCCTGGATTCCAATTCTCTACAATTCTGTCTTTATTTTATACACATACATATATATATACACACACACACATCATCGTGCTGTGCATGTTGTGCTAATTCCTGACGCTCTAGATTTCTCCCCTCCTCTGTCATTGGATTGAGTACTCCTGTCGATTTCCTCAGAGGTCGTGTGCAACGGCTTCGATTTTGTAACGATTTCCATAATCAAAGGTCTTGTCTTTTTCCTCACTTTGCAGTCGCTGCTCTTTATAAAAACTCCATCAGCACCTTTACCTCTGGCCAGCAAGTAGCAAGATTTTTGCGGTAAGTTAGCCCTGAATCATTTCCATGATGCCTGTCCATATAGCTATCTGGACAGGCAAATAGAGACAGATGGTTTTGGATGTAGATATATTTATGACAGTCTATAATGAGCACATGATCAGAAATAAAGCATCTTTAAAAACAAATAGCTGTCGCTGTAAAGTTTGCAGAGTTGTTTTTAAAGTTGAGCGGATGGTTAAGGTTAGTGATCCTCTTGGTGAAGTGGAATGAATGTGGAATAAGTTCAATGAGAACAATGCATATGCACTTGGAAAAACATTGATGATTGTACAAGTATTCCTGGCACTTCGCTCGAAGAATTTACTTCTTCGCCACATAAATATTTAAGATGAAATACATATAGTATATATATATATATATAATTTCCGTAACAAATGAAAACAAGTTATTTCCTCTCAATTTCAAGCCTTGAAAGTTCACGGTAGATATCACCTCAGCAATGCTGACTCCCCTCCCGGCCGCTGTTGTAGAGGTTACAGGCAGAACAATAGATGGCGAAGCCAGGAGGTCATCTAGTTTGTAGAACAATTTGCAAACTTGCTATATTATCCACTCAGCAGCCATCGACCGATAAGCAATTCTATAGTAATTTCTCGCTAACCTTTTCTGCAGATGCGGATTCCTTTAATCAGTCCTCAATGAGCACAGCAGTGAGTCCTGCTTTGTGGAGTCGTACCTTTCTCTGTGTTGGTGGTATAGGTTGATCTTTGTTTTAAAACGAGAGAGAGAGAGAGAGAGAGAGAGCGAGAGAAAATACTTCAGCCTCGCTCGCTCCAAACATACGTGAGTCTCGCAGGGTCTGGGAACCCAGAAACATTCCCCGAGAGCAGAGCACAACCACAGAGAAAGAAAAGTCACAGTTGCAAAAAAAATTAAAACAATAAGTGTGTGAAGCCAGCAAAAAAAAGTTGCAGAGATGTAAATTCTTTCGCTAGCCTTGCCTCCTACGCCGTTCGGGCCTTCCTTTCATGTACCTACTTGTGTAACATCTTTCCCTTTTACTCTGTTTACAGCGAGAGTGCATGAAGTCATAAATCTTACGTAGCCATAAACGACAGAAGCGGTGGCATGCATAAAAAAGAGGTTAAGCTCCGAATAGCTCCTACATTGACTCCACTCTGTGACTTTTTACTCTCTACACTGTGCACCAAGCGGTGTATATATATATATATATATATATATATATATATAACACATATGTTATTTGTTTTGTTATGTGTTAAAACCCTCTTGAGACTATAACTATAACACACAATTCATATAAAAAAAAGTTTGCAGGAAGACTGTTGCATGTACTCTGGTCATGTTAAATACACAGATATGTCTCTCTTCCTCCCCCCGCCCCCCCCCCCCCCACCACTTCCACCCCCAACTCTGCTATCCGCCCCACCGTCCATTTATTTCCCACCCTTCAACCGCTCCCTGCTCCTCGCTAAACTTTTCTTCTTCCCCGTGAATAAATTATAAATTGTTGATTCACAACCACGAGTTAAGTCAACAATGCAATAGGTGATAATCTTATCTCTGCTGGATTTTGTGCATTGCGTGTTTTTTTTCTCTGGTGGGGGGGGGGGGGGGGGGAGTCACTGTTTATATTAATAATGTCCCCGATGGTGAAAGGTTTCACTTTGTCCTGGATTGACATATAATTGCTAAACACGTGAATCAAATAGCGAGCTTGCCATCCCTGTCTAGGCCTCTGTCCGGCACGTCGGTAATTAGCATAATTTTTCACTTGTGACGCTGTGTTTCGAGAGGATTAACACTCGTTGCCTTACCCTGCACCGACAAAGAAATCTTTTTATATAAAAACGTGCTTTTAATATTCATGTGTATAGATACATATACTCATAAGAAACATACCGAATATGGATTTTCTTTACTGTTTACTGTGTGCTCTTTAAAGCTGCGAACCATTGTTATCTGTGAGTAGGGCGTACCAGTCTGGGGCTCAATAATATCAGGGCTGTCCATTCAAGCCTTGAGCTTTCTACAGTTCTTTCAAGCTGTATCATCTCGCCTTCCTTTGCCGTTGCCTCCAACCAGTGAATTTCAGCGCCACAGTAGCTGGTTCATCCTTCCTTGCTTTTTTAAAAAAAGAATTTGGGAACTCCTGCTTATTGATTGCTTGGTGGATCTGAAATATTATGGCTTGCTCTGCTTCTATCGTCAGCGGCTAAGGTAAGCTGGACTCAAATAGGCTAGCACTCGTGAATGGCGGAGTATGTGTCCCAGTGATTTATGACCATATGACTTCAATCTCGGTTCAAGAAGAGTTCACAAGCTTATAGCTTCCTTTCACGCAATGACTGTTTCACATAAGCATCTGAATTCAGCGCGGAACCTTTTCCCTGTGCTTTTTCGGGGGGCTTATTTCGATTGTTTTTTTTCAATCAGCTTTCAGGTTGAGATTTGAGACATATTTAACGTGCACGTCTGTAACGGGACATCATAATCTGAGGCTCGGGATAACTTACCCATTGTTGTCACACCGCCTATTGTGGCTGTTTTCCTGTAATTTTTGCGCACTTTTTGGACGGCCAAATGCCCTTTCTGTGCAATATGTGTGTCAGGATTTTTTTAGGTTTGCAGGTCGTGTGCTTTGGAATTATGGAGCAAAAACGAGCGAAGGTTTTATCGTGCCTCTGAAACATGGTGGGCAAAGCGGCGAACCCAGCGCGCTTTTGACTGTTTTTTTTCCGCTTCTCTACATTTCTCAAACCAACGCTTAAGAACCATTTTAAACAGCAACTTTCAGGTCCCAATTCGTTTAAAATGGTAGTTTTCCTGTCACGCTTCATTCCCTCGCACTGCGCCTCTGTCTCCAATGCATCCGGAGAACTCGGTTGAAACCGGATAATTAATTCTATTAGAAATTATTATTATTATTATTATTTTACGCGTGGTTTGGTAAATAAAACTTCGCAGCCCCTTCCTTCCCTGGGCGAGAAATGGGTCTGCGAGGGTTGGCCGTGTCCCCCAGGTTTGAATGAAATGAATGGAAATTAAATGTATATTTTATTTGTAAATTATCTGCTCGTGTAGAACAAAGATAAATCAAACGGACACGTCCCTGACCCGGTGAGAGATCGGAAAAACAAGTAGGCATAGATCTAAACACTGAATTATAAGATGCGCCTTTTTTTNAAAAGAGTATTTTTTTCAATTATATTTCTCGTAAATCGCGGCTGTTTTTTATTTCCTTTTTTTNCACTCCCGGAATCGCGCTTTCAATGGAAATTAGCTTTTTATTCGCCTGAATGTTGTTAATGTTCTTTTTATCGCATTCTTCCTTTTACTTCAAAGGTCTATACGGAATATATCAAGCTGTAAAAAATAGACGAATTTGCAGAGGGTTTTCTATAATACATATTTAATTATCTGATTGTTCACTGAGACAACATCGATTTTGTCAACGTATTTTATTTAATTCCCTCTTTAAAACGCACCTTAATATATTTACAAGGCTGTAACCATTTGACAGTAAACCCTCGCTAATTTAAACTGCAAATTAAATTAATTTCCTTAAGGCTAAATCCTATTTGGTGCCTTTTTATGCACAGAACTGTTTTATGTAAAAGACAGGTAGTCGGGATCTAGGTCGTCTCTATTCCAGTCTGATAAATGTTTCATAATATCTTTCAGCCATATTTGCTATCAAGTTAAGGAATGGGGATTATATATTTTATATAAATACAAGTGCTATCAAGTACTGAATTTCTCGAGCGGATCACTGCCAGATTTATACACTGTGATTTGTTATTTGGCAGCTGCTTAAGATCATAAAAAAAAGTGTGTCAGAGTGAAACTACTTTTAAACACAAATTGGCAATCGCCGGGCAGTATAGTTTAGGCACAAATCAGAACCATGTGTATTTTGTTTCAGAGAGAGAGAGAGGGAGAGGGAGAGCTGCCTGGGTAAGTCTCGCCGCTCTATTCTCTCTCTCCAAAAGGTTCGGGAGCCCCCGCTTTTTCAAAAAAAAACTTATTACCCGACTGACCCCTCATACATCAAATTATGTCGAAGGTTCCAAGACAGTGCTTATTATCTTTTTTTGGGGGGGAGGGGGATAGAAAGGTTCAAATCATGGTCATAGAACACAAATCCCGGTTTTTCAGGTTTGCCATCCTTTGTCGATCCATCATAGATATCTAGGCTGGGCTTTATATAAACCGGGAAAGGGAAGAGAGTCCTAACATACTGCAAGGCCAAACGAGCTAAAGAAAAACACAGTTTGCACACAGACACACGCTCGGTCACACAGGGGCTGGAAAAACTCACTTCTCCACCTTCGCCTTGAGCATGTTCTTTTGAAACTCGTCTTAAAAATACATTTTTATTTATTGAGAAAAACGAAAGGGGGAAATAACTTGAATTAAAAGGGCAATCGAGACGAATTCGCCTGGTATTGACTTTTTTTTAACTGGGTGTCATAAGTCTTAATATAATCTCTGGTTTTGATGTACGTTAGCTTGGAGGTAAAGATGTGAATTTTTAAATCCTCTTGTTAAGCGAGAAATTACGGTCTCTATAAAGTATGTTTCACATTGGTGTCTGAAAACATAGCTACTGAAACGTCCATAAATTTCCTTCTATTCAAACCAGATGTTTTCGTAAAATCTCAACCAGCAGTGATCGCTGTACACTCATATTGCGAGAATTTAGCAGCCTGGTAACGGTGAATGGAAACCTAGCTTTAGGTGGTAGCACTATTTTTAATATAGCAAATTGACAGCATGACATTTAATCACGAGAGAGAGAGAAAACGTAACAAAACACTTTGGTTCAACTGGCCCAATTGAGAAAGTTCATAAAACGGACTGTTAGATTTCAAAAGCGGAGTTTGGATCAGTGCCCAGATCAGAAACATTTAGCCATAAATATATCTGTTCAAATAGTTTTGCAGATGGTTCTCCTGTAGATGAAATTAGTAGTTTTCCGATCAGAGTTCACTGTAAACGTGATTTTTGAAACGAAATTAGGAATAACCCAGGATACATGATCAGACATGGCATCTGCTGTAGTGTTTGGTGGAGGCTATTCATGTCATTCCCTTTTGAGTGTGTAAGATGGATCCATGGCCGTTCCACTATTATTGTGTGGTTCTTCTAACCTTAGGTCAACTGCCAAGAGGCTATTGGAAGAAAACGTCACGTGAATCGGGCTGCCAATGTTATTCGATAAGGGTGTCAGGACCCTGACAGTTTGTGAAATAAATATTGGGAAACTGCGAGATGCAAAAAACGACATACTGCGACAATTCTACTCTATTCGGTGGTTACATATACCAGGGAGCAAATGGGTTCAGCTATGAGGTGGCTCAACAGCCCTACCCACCATCTTCTCACGTCGAGAGTGATTACCAGAGGTCTGCTTGCTCTCTGCAGTCAGCTGGTGCCAATGTTCCACATCCCAAATCTAAAGACATCAATGGCAGCTGCATGCGTTCCAGCCTCCCTGATCACCACCAACCTCCTCCACCTGTGTCACCTCCCCAAAACCCCAGCAACAACTCGACACAGGCAAGCACCAGCAAGAGTCTGCCCAAATCTTCCCACACCTCCACACCCAACCTCACCAAACAGATATACCCATGGATGAAAGAGTCGCGACAAGCGTCCAAGCAGAAAAATAACAGCTGTCCCAGCACAGGTACTTACAGTCTATTTTGTGATTTTGAATACCCAAAGCACCAGATGAAAAGACTACACTTTGTTTATCCCACCGCAACCCCCAAAAATCAAACCATTAAGTACACGCAGTCAAGCTTGCTATTTTCTAATTTTCCCAATCCTGCGACCCATTATTGTAAATATAACAATGTACTGTGAAGGTATCCGGCCCCCTTTTTCAATCATGCAATGGCACGTCTTAATCGTTTGATTTTTTTTTAAAAAATTGAAAGTTATTATTTTTTATTACATTAAATCGATGCTTTGTAAATAGCTCAGTGGACTCAGTGCCAGTTGACTGTGCCACTAGAAAGTTAAATTGCCAAAAGTAGTGCTATGATAGATATATATGATATATATGTACGTATCTAAATAAAATATAGGCAAGTACTAATAGTAACTCACGATACTCACAAATGTAACAGTTCTTGCTTCTAAGAATAATTACGAGTCTCTCGCGGGTATTTCATTCATTCTACGTGGCTCTGGCAAAATCATCATTGACTGCGATTTGCCCAAGCTTATTTACCCTTATCACTCTTACTGTAGAGTATATTGTTCCAAACATTGTGTCAATATGATTATGGTTCAATTGTCTGAGCTCTGGGGATCCCACATCATATTTCTAAGTGTGGGGAGGGAGGGGGGTGGGCGGGTGGGTAAGGTGGGATATGGGGTATGGAACGCTTAATAATCATGGATGTGAAGTGATGGCCCTTGATGTGTTAAAGGGGATGCCTCTGTCTCTCTTTTCAAGATTTATTACATTTATTGGGAAATGTCCTGTTATGATGGGTTCATTTTAAGAGGTAATTGTCTTTATTTTATTGGTCACAGCAGAAAGTGTCAGTGGGGACAAAAGCCCGCCGGGTTCAGCTTCCAAAAGAGCGCGCACTGCCTACACGAGCGCGCAGCTAGTGGAACTGGAGAAGGAATTCCACTTTAACCGTTACCTTTGCAGGCCTCGACGGGTCGAGATGGCCAATCTGCTCAACCTCAGTGAACGTCAGATCAAAATCTGGTTCCAGAACCGCCGGATGAAATACAAAAAAGATCAAAAGACAAAAGGCATGGTGGGTTCTGGAGGACAGTCACCCACGGGAAGCCCACCTCTCTCTGTCCCGGCCCCCGGAGGCTTTGTCAACACCATGCATTCAATTCCAAACAACTCTGTCTACGATGCCCCTTCACCGCCACCTTTCAGCAAACCTCATCAGAACGCTTATGCCATGCCCAGCAGTTACCAAAACCCGATGAAAAATTGCCAGACACAGCAGCAGAAAAGATATACTGGGACTGCACCAGATTACGACCCCCATGTTCTGCAGGCCAACACCAACTACGGAACTCCAAACATGCAGGCAAGTCCTGTGTACGTTGGCGGGAACTATGTGGAATCCATGTCATCTTCTGGCCCTTCTCTCTTCGGCCTCAATCATCTTCCGCACCCTCCACCCACAAACATGGACTACAACGGCGCCACTCAGATGGCTGCCAGTCAGCACCATGGACCTTGTGACCCTCATTCAACCTACACAGACCTTTCAACGCATCATCCTTCTCAGGGAAGAATCCAAGAGGCTCCCAAGCTGACCCATCTGTAGCAGGCACAAAGATGGACGCTTCGTTAAGAAAGAGAAATAAAAACACTTGTTTTTTTCATTTTATCATAATATCTCTACAGCCCATTCCCTTCTTAGCATCTATTTCGTATCCATGTACTCTTGTCTTATATTATTAATATGTTGCGTACATTACCCACTCGCCAACCCCCGCTATGTAGAATGTCTATCATAATCCATTACAGCCCTTAAATCATTAACTATGTAATGCAACTGCTAAAATTCCACACCCTCCCTTACTTGGACTTAACGTGAAACAGGGTAAACGGACAAACCTTCTGTCCTTTAAAATTAAGCAAAAGAAAAGATGTTTTTAGAGTATTTACTGATGATTGTTTTTTTCCTACGGACACCTGTATTGCACTTAACGTTTACATTTCAGTGGGTTAAAAACAGTCCATAAAAGGTGACTTCTTCCAACTCAGTCATGAAGGTATTTGAACTGAGTGGATAGCGCGTCCTTCAATATGTGTGTATTCTGGTGAACACTCAAATATATTTATGGATTAATGCCAGGAAAATATTTCTTTTTGTATTATTTATCCCGACAATACGTATTTATATATTAAAAAAAGTTGAAAAAATGTACTTTTTAGTATTTACCTGTCGAGGCAGTTGTGTTCATGTCACGGTAAACAAGTTTATTTTAGTTTATGTAAACTAGAAACGAAAATGTAGTTTTCTGTTGCCATGTACCTACAAATAATGTAATTAGTCATACTGAAGGCATGAGGGCGGAATCGGACAGTAATGTATAGTCTTGATTTAGAAAAAAAAATAGGAATTTCTCCTTTCTGAGACCCCCTTGCCTTCTTTGTAGCTATTTTCCTTCCTGAGAGTTGTCTGCCAAACAATTCTGGAATAAATCTGTTATCAGATTCTGTTATGGTATGGGTTGTTATATTACCATTATAACAGGAAGATTATGGAACCCTCCACTCTCCAAAACCCAACACGTTATCACTTTCCTTCTACACATTTTGAAATCCACAGCGTACACCTACACATACACAGTCACTACACTTTCTAATAAAATCCATTGAAGGGATTTTGAGACGTTTCAAGAACGTGATAAGGAGTTATATCAACTGCAAAGATTATTGTCATAAGGTTGTGTTAAGTTTACAGTTAAAACAATTTCACACGCATTCACACTGGCAGTGTTACCAGGTGTGGAAGCACTGAATCGTTTATATTACGTTTTTTTCCCAGGACCACCTCCACGTTGTTATGAGTTGAGTTTGTCGCCATATCACTGACTTCGAAGACGGCATTGGTGAAGAAAGCAGCAACTTTTTTTTTGCAATCTTGTAAATATCTTTATTACCAAACAAGTCCCAGACACTTACACACACATTCAGGAATTAAGGGGTAAAAAGTTTCCATCCGGTGAAAGGAGACACCACGTGCTGTCTGGGGATGGAAGGCATTGGACCTGTGAGAGAAACAAAGGGGAAAGCTTGAGAAAGCTGCCAAAATCCACAAAGCTTTGCAGTTCATTGCTTTCGAAACGAAACAGTGGTGGTTTTTTTTTCGGTTTGGCAACAAATTCATTTTAAAGCGATCTTGTGAAAATGCGATCTGGACAGATCTGCAACCCCCCCCCCCCCCCCCTCCCACACACACACACACACACACTGCGACTGTAAACTCCCGACGTTTTAATTAGTTATAAAACAATGGGTGAATAATTGTACAAAGTGGCGATCGCCTTGACGAAGTCTTTCCAATTCCAAGTAACTTGGTTTGTAATCGTAGGGTTTAAATGCATACCGTTTGTGCAAAAAAAATTTTTTTTTAAAAAAAGTATATTGTTGCTAAAACGACGTTATAATAAAACTTGTCTCACGGTTTTAAGTTGACTGCACTCTCGAGTGGACACAATCACATTTCAACAGCGAGAAAAATGCTGTAACAAAACGCTGTTAACCTATTAGTAACTCGGGGTTGTCTGGGAAACGGTAAAACGAATCTGCTATTTAAATAACGCGCAACTCTATTATTTCTGGTTAAATATTAACTTTACCTCCATTTTAAATTATTTTTTAGATTGAATGTGCACATTGCCACGCTTCCTCTGCTCTGCTATAAACGTGGTCAGAACAATACTAGTTCACTGTAGAACAGTAACACAAATCAGAGAGTAGATTCTTGGCATATTTTCTTGAGTCAAACATTTGCTCCTAAACATTAAATTGCCAGTAAAATAAAATCTAGTTTATTATTTTGCGATTAAGATAATGAGGCTTCAAGTGGTCATCAATTAGAAGTTCCGACATTTCATGTAATAATATTTAACATTTCCTTAAATCATATAGTATTTCCAAAAAAGACGATCCAGCCCCATTTATCCTCATCTTTGATAATTTTTGTAATTTATATTTTAATGTAAATCTTTTGAGGTGGAGGTTTTTTTAAAGTGATTATAAACAGTATAGGCGATGCTCATCCAGGCAGATCTTAATCGCATACGCAGAGATAGGGGACAATTTAATAGCCATAAATCTGAGTAAAGTTGTCCTCGAATCGTATAATAATTCTCTGGGGGAGGGGTCGAAATACAATTTTGCAGCTGATGTAACCCAAGAGCTAAAAAGATCCGGCGCCATATTGTTGGACCCCCCCCCCCCCCCACCACTCACCCCCAACCCCACACACATACACACACACTGACGGGGGAAAAAAAGCTTCCCATTAAAAAAAGGTTTAACATATTTAACCCATTGGCGCCCTATTGCAACACTACAGCCATTCAATGTTTCTTCGATTTCGTGTTAAAACTACTACGTCTTTTAACGCATCTATTTGAGCTTCTGCTGTTGGGATTTCTAGTTGCGGCGTTATGTATTATAGTAACTGCCCCATACATGACAGGATTGTTTTGGGGATTCTGGCTCTCATTTCACTGTCTGTCTCGAGTCAATTAAAACTGCCAGAATGAGAACCACGTCATTCTTCTAATCTTCGTGCAAAAATTTTAAAAAATATATAATTAAAATTAACAGTATTCATTTTACTTCTCGCGTTTTATGAATAAGAATTCATGAATATTCACTCAAAAAATTAAATCATTTAGAATTCGAGAGTGCTAAATTACCAGGAAAAAAACGTAATCGTTGTCTGGTTCAAAACATTAAAACCATGCCTCATTATTATTCTCTCTCGCTTGCATATTAACCAATTATTTTTAGTGTAAACAATCCCTTGTATTGCCTGTCTCTGATTTATGCTGCTGATTTTCGAGATTTTATGCCATGTTTTGAGGCATATTTTAACACAAATCTTTCGTTTGCACGTTTAAGTACAACATTCCTCTCCCTGAACATTTTCAATGCCTCAGTTTCTTCAGAGGGCTGTGCAAACTCGCCCTTAAACACTTACACCCACACACGATTAACAAACAAAGGTTACTAGGCCCCAACACTACCCACACTGGTCCTTTCTCCAGTGAAATTGGTACAGTTATATTTTCCTTTAAAAGCCTCGACGTTAAAAAAAAACACTTTTTTAAACGTATTCCCTTTATTTTCTCTCTCGCGCGGATTTATATTTATTTATCCATTATGTATGTTAGTAGCTTTACATGAAAATAAACGCCTTTTCTGCCCCCATGAACATTTTGCAGGAAGAATGGCCAGACTGACTTCCTGGTATTTGATATGGGAATGCTGTCAAGCTATTCGATGGGGAAAGATTGATCGTTCAGGCCTCGCGTTTTTTCTTGCAGCTCAGTTTGCTTTTCAAGAAGAATTTTGTCGCAACGCTTCTGCCGAAATAAGTTAAAAAAAGAGTTAAAAAAGACCCCCAAATAGCTATTTTTTCAAAAAGAAAAAAAACTTGTTAATTCAAAAAAATTTGGCATTTGGTAAAATTGCAGTCTATTTTCAATGACTCTCAGACGAAGTTTTCGATTGTGGGAGTAAATAACCTTTTTGGAGTTAAAAAATGCAATAAGTGTAGCAACGTGTATAAAGTTAGATAGAGCGAGAGGTAAACATAAACGCTGAATTTCTGATCAAATAGATTTAATATTAAAAACAAACGTGTTTTGAGGGGGATAAAAAAAAAGCTCACTAGTTTCCTCCTGAAATGCTTTGAAATCTCCTCACCCCCACCCCCCTCACCCCACCACCAATTAAAATGCGATACTTACCTATTTCGGAAAAAAAACTTTTTCCTTTGAAAAGCTAACATTTCTGTCCCCCATCGAAAATCGGCAAAAGTAGGTTTTGATCATTGTGTCCAAGATCAGAGAGGCTGATGTCAGGGGTTTGTAACTTTCATACAGGCAAATAGCAACTGCGTGTCTGCTCTGGTGAAAGTACTATTTTGTGACTGACCGACCGTCTTGTCAAAACTTTGAAGATTAATGAGAGACCTTGTTAATCACTCAGGCCGCCAGATATTAGGAACATTTCATCTTCCCTGGAATGCAAGGACCGTATTGTGGACTGAGCTGAATCTTTTTACGAGACCAAAAAAAAGCGTTTAAAATATTGCAATTTATAATGGCGTGAATTATTGAAGAAATCTAACGGGTCAATGTAAACTCTGGCGGTGGGGGTGGGAGGGGGTGGGGGTGGGTGGGGGGGGGATATAGTGGATTTCTTTCCTCGACTTTTTTTGGATCAATTGTGGAGATAATCCTTTCTTTTTCATTAGACCCTAAATTGCCATTGGACAACGCCAATCATGTGACAAGGAATTTGGTCCAATTTCGACCAAGTCTTCAGTGTAATAGCGGAAGGTCCCCCCCAACGCCGTGTAATATCACAGATACACAATTATTGTTTTTCTCGGCCCACCACGTCCCTAACATTCTCCATTCGGGGGGTAAAGGAGGCCATGAATTTCGAGTTCGAGCGAGAGATTGGTTTCATTAACAGTCAGCCGTCACTTGCCGAGTGCCTGACGTCCTTTCCCGCTGTCGCCGATACATTTCAAAGTTCATCAATCAAAAACTCGACGCTTTCACACTCGACACTAATTCCTCCTCCTTTTGAGCAGACCATCCCGAGCCTGAACGCCAGCAGCAGCCATCCGCGGCCAAACCGGCAAAAGCGGCCTCCCCACGGCCTGTCCCGGTCCGCACCCCCTCCTCCGGGCACCGCCGAGTTCCCGTGGATGAAGGAAAAAAAGTGTTCAAAGAAAAGCAGCGAAGCGCCTCCACCGCAACCGACCCCGGCCCTGGGGTGCACTCAATCGGCCGAGTCTCCGACAGGTCTGCCCACAATCTACATTCCCTCTTACTGTCTAGACAACTTGCTAAAATTATTTTTTTTATATATATATTTATATATTTTATTAAAAAAAAGGTGCAGTTCACAAACCTTCAACGTGACATCTAATTGGTGTGTGTATATATCGCAAAATGTGGTGTCGATGGCAACATCATATAAAGCATTCGGTTCATTTGTAATTTTATTGCACAGTGATTTATGAAATGCTTTTATAATTGTCTTGACTGATCCTAGTGCTTGGGCTGTAAAAATGCTGATTTATTGTAATATTTTATTTAATGTTATTTTAATATGCGATTTGTCTTAGATTGTGAAAGTGGTTATATATATATATATATATTGTAGCTATGTCATTTACATTTTCGGCAGCCATGTTCCTATTGAGCAGAGCTGGACTGGACAGTGGCAAAAGCTACAGGATTGCCTCACAAAGAACCACACTGTCAATTTCACATTTTTTAAAAAAAGACTGAAATGATTTGAATGCAATTTGAGTGAAATTGGCAAGAATGTATTTTGGGGGAAAACAATTTGAGATTGCGGTATTTAAATCCCTTTCAAAGTACATTTCAAACACTTTCTTTCTGTTTCCCCCCTTCACTGTGGTCTCTTGTTAGAAGTACATAGTGATCAAGATAATAGCTCCGGCTGCAGGAGGTTAAGGACAGCCTACACAAACACTCAGCTCCTGGAACTGGAGAAAGAATTTCACTTCAACAAATACCTGTGCAGACCACGCAGGGTGGAGATTGCAGCCCTGCTGGATCTAACCGAGAGACAAGTTAAAGTCTGGTTCCAAAACCGTCGGATGAAACACAAGAGGCAAGGACAATATAAAGAAAACCAGGACGGGGAAGCCGGTTTTTCCAACACACCAGTAACAGAGGACGAAGCAACAGAGACCTCTCCTTATAGCCAGCCTATCGAGGCAACAGCGCCTTATTTAGACCACAAAAACTCCACTGATCAGGCGAAAAAGCAAAGCCAAAACACGCTCAGCAAAGAACTCCAAAACCTCCAGGATCTGACTATCTGTGCGGGCGACAAAAACAACAGAAGCTTTCTACACCAAACGCCCACAGCTGAAAACGGGTTTACTTCAGGGCAAGATTGTATAGCTGGTCTGGCCTATCTCAGCCCAGACGCCCTCGATCTCTCCTCATTGCCTGATTTAAACATGTTTTCTACGGATTCTTGTCTTCCGTTTTCCGAAGGATTATCTCCCAGCTTGTGCTCCATCGACAGCCCCGTGGAACTCCCCGAGGACAATTTTGATATTTTCACAAGCGCCCTCTGCACAATAGACTTACAGCACCTCAATTTCCAATAACATTTGGAAAGATGTAGACAGTGTAGACGTTGAGCCATGTTTAACCGAGTTCAGTATTTTTTTTTCCGTTTTTCATTCTAAGTTACAATAATGTGGAATAACGTGTCTGTGGCACAGGACAGGAATCATCCACATTAAATGTATTCTTCAGCCTTGGTGTGGAGTCTACGAGAATTGCAGTCTTTATTTGCACAGGTATTTAATTAAATGCGAATCTGATTTAGCTTTAGTTTCATAAACAATATGAAATAGTCGGAATATTCAAAGACAATGCAAACAATTTTAGATTCCCCCCTTTTCCCGCCTACTCAGGAAGCACATTTGAAAATTGTATTTATAGCAAGCTGCTTTCTCCTAGCGTTCCAACACCGCGACTGTGTCCTGGTCTTTATGTTTCGGAAGTAGCCTATTTATTAAAACAAACTTTCAAATAGTGAATTTTAAATTATTTATTGTACATTATTTTCATAGGTGAAATAAAACTTAATTCTTTAATGAACCTTCGCTGTGTGTGTTGTAAGGATTCTTGTGTATTGTTATCAGGGATATGGACTATTCTGTCAATACTAGATTGCTCACACGATGCTCACTGTAACTGGAAAGAAAGATTCAAGGAGGAACCCCCCCCCCCCCCTCCACCCTCCACAATATTTCAATCTAGGAACAAACGTCCATTAGGCACTCAGTCCATTTTGAAGAATTGCAACTGGTTAATAATGCTGCGCGTTAACAGATCTTAGAAGTGTTTGTATATAGCTCCGTAAATATGGCCTTAAACAAAAGGGATCAATAATTATACATATAAAAAAAGCTTTCTTTTCTTACTTTTGTATCTCTTATTCGGCCACTTATCGGTAGTGTGAATTTTATTAGTTTCGTTATTGTTTTTTTGTGTTGCAATCAAGTTTGACCAAAACCCATTTATAAAAAACAGCACTAGTGCTGAGATATTATTTGTAACGGTGTCTTTGTTGGCTAATTGGTTATGCAAGGATTAAACAAAGTGATTTCCATTTCCCTGATTTGTTTTTAGATTTTTTTAAAAAAGGCCCAAAGATGACTATTTTCACATTTATTTTAGAATTTACAAAGTTGAAAGTGCAGTGCACACAGAAAAGGAGGCATTGCAAACACTTAAAAAAATGTAAAGATATTTTTAGCAGATGTCCTGTTGGGCTCAATTTGCTCTTCCCCTCCCCCCTCTCCCCCACTCCCCCCTCCCACGCACACACACACAGACACACACACACACACAACCACCACACACGGACATCACTGAAACACAAGTCAGACTTTAGCTACTGCTGGCTGATATAATTTAAAAGAAACTTCTAATGGGGATCTAACTATTTAATTCTTGCACAAATTATTGTACTTCAATCAGGTTTAGGTGGTGTGAATGCTAAGCTCGATTTACTGAAATTTGTCCCTGCATAAATGCATATATGAGAGAGTGAACCCTTCGCTCCCCCCCCCCCCCTCCCCCCACCTCCCCCTCCCACCCCACCCCGAAAATATACAAAACAGGACGTGAGGAAATGAGAGAAAAACAGATTTAGGGTAAAAAAAAACATAACAGAATGCTGGTATGATATAAGCCAGAAGGGTGAAGTTACTTGCAGCGCGAGTTGGAGCACTAAAGCAGACAGGGAAAGCGAAAGGAAAACCCTTTCCAAACTTGCCAGAACATCATCAGCAACATCGATCATAACTTCATTTTTTATTCTCAATTGTACTCCACTTTGCAGCCTCCACGCGCCATGCCAAAGGAGGTTTCTTTACAAGATGTTTTTTTTTTAACCAAACTCATACATCAAGCTGCTTTGCGAATGAGGGGGGTCATTGGAGAAATCAATCGCAGTGACACAAAAAATAAATCATATTACGTATTTGCCCAGTCACGGGTGTTTTGCAAGTAAGACAGAAATTTGGGAAGCATTCAAACATAGTCAGAGGCAATGTTACACCAATCAGTAAGTCTGGATGATCCAATTTCAAAATGGCAACCCAATGTGTTCCACACATAAACATACGCGTCAGTGCTGATTACCATTTTTATTCCAGGCTAATTTAACATGTATGCTTCATCTTTTTCAGAACACTATCTTAAACGCTCCCTTTTTATTTCTCGCTTTGAGCCTTTTTTTTTAGTAAACCATTATTAAGAGCACAAACCGACCCTTTCGCAATCGAATGAGCTTTCACCTGTTTTTAACTTTTTGTGAACATTTAGCTGAACATTTTATTCGACATTTATTTCATTTTGTTTATCTATTTTCATTGCATTATGTTGGATTTGGTGTAAGTATGCTCCCTATTTAATAAGATAATTTTGTTCTCGGATCACAGCTATAAAAAGATATATTAAAAAAANGTTCAGGGAAATGCGCTTATGTGGTCATCTGGGGATGGACAGCATTTATGGCCTTTCCATAACAATGGGTCGTTTTGTTTATCAATCAGGCAAACTGCAGTGTCCAGAGGAAAAAAGAGAGGCAGAGAAAGCGAGTGAGAAGGAGAGAAACAGACATACGGAGACAGAGAAAGGGATCTACAGAAAAAAAACAGTTTCCTTGGCAATTAAAAAAATAAGAACAGATGACTAACGTGGATGCTTTTCCACTGGTGTTTTTTTTAAATATACGCTAAGTACAATCCAAGTTGCAAGGTTTTAGGAACTATTCGAATTATCATTTTTTTAAAGGAATTTTGTGGTTTTCCTATTTCAATAAATACATGACAGCTTAATTGAGTACAAACTCCTTCAACTTCCGTACGCAGCCCCTGACATGTTATCAATACAAATCTCTAACGAGCGCCTCTTTACATAGCATAATGACCAGTAAAACTTGCTTCACGTCCAGAGAACACGGCAGTGACAATTGCAAATCAATTCTACGCCCACAGAACAGCCTTAATAAATGGAAACTAACCACTCAATCCGCCCTTCCCGAAAGACATTTGTATCCCCTTTATTTATCCTCCTACTTGTCAATTTCTGATCGGGTTCATAAATTCAAAATCAATGAACAGTAGACATATGTCTACGTACTCTGGATCATTCCCGAAATAAAACTTTAATATTGTTTCAAAAGAAATACTGTAACATTAAATAAAAACCGTTCAAAATTGTTCATAGTAAGATAAGATATAAATCAAGATTGATCAGTGTTAGATATTGTATTTGCTTCTGTAGCATCTAAAAATGACCCACAATGACCATTCAATAGTGCAGTAGATTTCGTTTGCACATCAATGTGCATATTGTGTCCCAGTGTAAAAGATACTATTACTTGTCTATTTCGGATTGGGCACCGAGCCATTGAAATGTGTAACACGCCTACTTTACTCCTCTTAAAAGTATCTGTATTTTTTTTAAAAAAAAGCAGTTCTCTTCCGAAACACATTAAAGGGAAATGGTAAATAAGCAACTAACATAAATACAATATATTTATTTATACACTGATTCCCCACCACCACGTCCCAGAACAATATGGTCCAATTTACAATAACCACAATTTACATAGTTTCCGACAGCAGTGGTCCCAATATTTGCCTGTGGGCAGTACACTGGAAAACAATCGATTATATTTTAAAAGATTGTAAAACGGATTTCACACGCCACTTCTTAAGATTCTACTGAGAGACAAACATTTTTTTAACACACTGGATTGGAGATTATTTTAGACAAGTCTGACCAATGGAACCCCAATGAAATTGTGCATGGACTTTGGATCCGAGTATTGAGAAAACCAGGAGCTGTAGAAGAAATTGTGTCTGTGTGTGTGTGCGTGGGGGGGGGGGGGGGGGGGTGCGGGCCTGGGGGGGGGGGGGGGGTCGCAGTATATCTACTGTATGAAGGAAGCCACCGGATCTTTACTGACTATTACCTCATATTGTATAGTGCCCCCTTAAGTCGACAATGGGGTACTCCTCCTATCAGGGCAGGGAGGGTGTTCATTTTCCAACTGTACAAAAAAGGCAAGGAAACACGAGGAATATGTAGGACAAATCAAGTTTAACTGAGGTTTTTTTATGACCTTATTTGTGTAGACTGAAGTGCACTAAAAGTAATGAAATGAATTCACAGATTAGATAGTGGACCACATGTCACCCTCTGGGAGAGAGATGCATTTCGAGGGACATAGCCTTAAAAATCAAAACTGCGACAGGACTGAGGTGAGGAATGTCTTCACACGAAGGGATGCGAAGATTTGAAATGCTCTGCCCAGAAGCTGTGGTGGCACAATCAATAGATATAACACATTAGTGGAACGGGCTGGATGGGCTGAATGGTCTCCTATTGCCCCCGTTTTCCTAAATTCTTGTGCATTCAAAACCTTTTGCACGAATATAGCAGGAAAATCGTGAAGTGGGAGGAGGGGTGGAAGGGATTAACTGGATGTCACATTACAGTTAATTTGGGAGCCCACAATGAGGGGTTAATTCTTCCAATCACACGGAATCGGAAAATATTGAAACCTAAAGAGCGTGCCTCGGTATTCTGGAAATCACCAAGAATTGCAATTCAGAGTTAAAATATTGATCGAATTTTCACTCTTTCTATTTCAAACCAAATGGATCTTTACTCAACTGAGGCACAGACTAAAAGCAATCCGTTGGTGATAACCCACTTAAAGCCTGGTTCTCCAGTTTCTCCCAAGTTTCCCTTCTCGAGTCTCATGTACACATAGCTATTACCACAACTGTGAGCACATCTATTTTAAGCTTTGAATTTGATTAGATAAACAGGAACACAATATATAGTGCAATTGAGACATCGTGAATCGGATGAAAATTTCATAAACTTGGGGGTATAATGAAAGTTCATTTTTAGATTCTTTCGTTTTTTTTTAATGAAAACAAGCGAGGGGAGTGCGTACATATTTTAAAGCGAATTTAGCCCCAAAGCCTGTAAGAGGATTGGAAGAGGATATTATTGAATTGATTCTCATAACTGTCCTGGACATGTAATTAATAAACTGAACTGCATGCTGGAAACAACGATTCATTTCTGTCAACCACGTTCTGTCCACTAATGTACAGTTCGAAATGGAAATTAAAATTTTATTAAGTAAGGGTTGTCAGTAACGTTATTTTCAAATCATTAATTAAATAAAGATTGTACGGTCAGGGTGCAATACTGCACATAATCTATTTTGCTGCAATGCATTAAGTGGAAAACCCAAGCATCTAGGCTCACTACCGTCCAGGCAAAAGTTAAGCTCGTCAAAGTTTTACTCGCTAAAACCCTTTATTCCACCAATGGGGTCAGTATACACCTCACACTGTGCACAGCCAGCTGGTAAATGAACACTATTTATGCTTCTCACTGGCAATCTAAATTACACTAGCACGTGTTAACCCCCACCACCTCAGTCAATGGAGGCTCTGGTACAAGAGTAATACTGTACTGTTTGCTATCAATAAACTTTCAGAGTTACTTCAGCATCGTACGACAAAGTAAACATTCGTTTCAAACCTAACACTTAGTATTCAGCAACTACTTTGGGTTAGTTGGTGCGAAGTACATTCTCAGTAATAATTCAATCTCCTGTGATGTATCTCAGGTATGGCTGATAGTCTTAAAATACCCATCTCTCTCTCTCTCTCTCTCTCTGCGTATCTTCTCCCTCTTTATCTAACTCTCCACGCTATATCTCTCCTATATCATGTTTGTGTCTCCGCCTCTATGGTTGTGGTAAGCAGTAGTAAAATGAAACGGACATCAAAGTATTTAAATTGCTCGCTGCCAGAACTGTCTCTGACATATGGATCCACCGACTGAATGAGTGAAGGCAAAAATAATGTTTCTTGAATTCAGTGACAGTGATAGGGTATCATTATGTAGAAAATATAAGCACTCCATGAACCTAACAGATGGCGGGCGACGAAACAGCCCGAATGTCTAGGTGCAACAGTGACACATCACATACTGTACAATTAATCTTTTTCTGTTAACTGAGTAAATTAGTATAATTGTAAGCCTCGGGCATCCAGCTAATCACCACTAAACTGTGTGTATATATCTGATAACTCGGAATGTAAAGAGAAAAGCATCTTATTATGTCCAACATATTAAATGTGCTTAAATGCTGGGATAATACCATATAGCCTGACAGCGAACAAAACTCAGTGTTGGGACCATGTGTGGGATGGCCTCACGTTTGCTTTTATCCAGCGTGAACCCTTCACTTTATGAAAGATATTATGTCACTTTCAGTTCCATTGGTTCTCTGAACTAAATAACTTTAAATGGGTAAAACATGTAAAGCACCCCCTGATTACTATTTCAAAACTTCAGCCTGAATGCTGGAACCAATGAGCAATGAAATGATGGATTTCTCCCTATTTCTGTGAGCGGTCCCTCTCTCAGGTAGCTTCGAGCTCCACCACAAGATTGAATTATATAACAGTAATATTTCTCAATCAATTTTTTAAAGATCCAACCGTCTATTCAACTTGCACTGATTGATTTATCATCTTATCGACGAATTGATCAGATATACTGCTTTCCCAAGACAGTCACTTATCTTGCAGCACTATGGTTGTGAGCCTGTTAAATAAACATTATCTCTATTTTAATTGTCTAAGTATAGGTTGATCTCCCGAACTATTAAATAGACACCGTCAGGCTGACTTGGCAGTGTTGTTTCAATGCTTCTCTGTACAGTTTCGCGAATAAACAAACAGGATAAGTTTAATATTGCATTTCTAAATGTAACTGATGGTTCTCATGGCACATACTGGTTTCCAGCGAGTTGCAAAATTGGAACAAAAAAGATAGCAGTTAAACAAAGTGCAATTCGTCCAGCCTATTACGCATCTGTATCACAGTCTTATGAACCTCTTTATCAAACATCTCATGGGACACATATATTTCTTTTAAAAAGTCATACAGACGCATCATATCGTTTAACACAGTACAGCATTCGCAGAAAGATCATTGCGGTTCATTCTCAAAGCAAATAAGTTATTTTAATGACCCCACATGTACTGTAGCGGCCTGTTTATCAGTGCTACTGTCATAACGCTGATTAATGTACTTTACCTTGGGTTTAAAACAAAGTTTGAGAATGATGTTAAAGCAGATCTATATTGTGATGATTTGTTTTTGCAAATCAAGAACCCTGAAACAGGAGACTTTGGTCTTTCAAAACTGCATTACTCAAACAATCACTCAAATCAGGTACACGTTAAAATGGACTAAATTACCTACTTGAGAATTGATGTATTTCGGCGAGATTTTGTACCCACGATTTCTGGGCAGCTGTGATACATGGTATGACCAAATCTTTTTAACACTTTAAAGACAATGTTGAATAATTCCAACTTTCTCTCCCCACCCCTCCCCCCCCCCCCCCCCCCCCCCCACTCCCCCTCCCCCCCTCCCCCCCACCCCACACTATGGTCGATCTGACGTATGTGTTCCTATCAGATTGATGCGAATAACTGTGATTGAAGGCTTTTGTGATGTAAATGTCACGGGTGATGGATCACTCCACAGAGCTCACTACCATCGGGAGGTCCTTTGCCATTGGCGACTCGGGGGTCACGTGAATGTCCTCCTGAGTGACATCGTTTGATCGCCAGTCAAGCCATGGGGGAAGTTTACCGGTTGACATAGTGCTGGGGGTTGTAGGGGCAGGGACAGAATCCCGAACAGGTTGATCGTCCATCACTGGCAGATGGACAATACCAGGATGAACTCCTTCTTAGAGTATGCAATTTGTAATCGTGGGACGAGCGCCTACTCACCCAAGAGTTACCACCATTCAGAACAAGGAATAACAGCTTTCGCTCCCTGTGCAGGTAACACTGACAACAGTGATGGACGATTCCTGGCAGGAGGGAGTGGGCACATTGCACACCAGCATCAGCACCAGCCAGCCAGCTATTCGCATCACTCCAACCTGGGAATCCCATTCGCCAATACAACCCCCACCAGCTATACCAGCCAAACCTGCAACCTGCCTTACAATCACCATTATTTTTTCAACCAAGAATCAGATGGGGCGTACATTCAGACCCCGGGGTACACTGGCAGTATACCATCCCCCGGCAATCCCCTGCCAGACAACTACTCTGGTGTCTCAGGGTCGGGTCAGTATCAGCATTCCTACGGCCAAGAGCAACAGGGCTTGATCTTTGGACCTACACTAATCTGTCTCCATCTCAAGAAGGGGAGAATGAACCATCGTGCACCTCTGATTCATCGTCGTCGGGTCAAACGTTTGACTGGATGAAAGTGAAAAGAAACCCACCTAAAACAGGTCAGTGCAGTATAAACACCAACCTCTTGCCCGGACTGGGGGGAAAATGGCGAGAAGCCAATTAAAGCTCCTTTCAAAAAGTTTTTTAAAAAATGTGAATCTGCACCACCTTTCCATTGGTTGTTTCACGCTGAAGTGCTGCAACTTTATTTTCATCGCGTTGCACTAAATCATTTGGTGACGCCTTGCTCCCTCCCCTCGCGTCTCTCTCTCTCTCACACACACACACACACACACAATTCCCTCAAGATGAACTGATTTTATGAAATTGAACCGAATCTGACAAGTGGAGTCGCTGTGGAGTGGAACATTTTAGTGGTCAGGTCTACCCTATATATATAATAATATATGTATACATATATAGGGTAGGCCTGATGTATATCTACATCTATAATCTCCATAGTGGCTAAAAACGTAGTATCACCCACAGGTTCCACTTAACTGCTTCAAGTGCCCATTTCTTTGCTGATCCGCACTGGTGCACATCTCAAATCCAGTGAGTGTTCTTTGTCAGACCAGATAGTTGGACTATAAAACCAAACATTCAGAATTTGTTTCGCAACCAGCTAAGTAAGGGTTAATGTTCTGTTCATTTCAAGTCTTTGATCTTCGTTCAATGAAACAGTTTGTTTTCAGTGTAAACCCCCAGTGCTAATGTTTTATCTTTGCTTCCCTTAAGTTCCGGGGCATTAAGTGCTGATTTTTTTTGTCTAATGGAGGGTTCCTCTTAAAGGATCGATCTAATTGTTTTCTCTCTCTTTTTTCTCAGCCAAAATTGCTGACTACGGACTTGGCGGTCCGCCGAACTCGACGAGGACCAATTTCACCACCAAACAATTAACTGAGCTGGAGAAGGAATTCCATTTTAACAAGTACCTGACCCGGGCCAGGCGGGTGGAAATCGCTGCCACTCTGGAGCTGAATGAAACACAGGTCAAAATCTGGTTCCAGAACCGCAGAATGAAACAGAAAAAGCGAGAGAGGGAAGGATTTGGGCCTCTCTTCTTCACTAACACTGCAAAGGAAAGCGGGGATGGGTCAGACAAGTCCTCGACACCCTCTCCCGCCACCTCTCCCAGATCATCCACATCAGAAAACATTCACACTTATAACCCAGGCGAAAATAAAACGGATAGATAAATCTTTAAATAAAAGAACGTTTTCCCCCCCTGCAATTCCTTGAACTCTCATGTTTCTGATGTTAATTGTCCTCCTTTTTGTGTTATCGCGTTTGTAATAAACTCAGGGAATTAACTCCAAAAAGTTAGGTTTGCACTTTCCATATGTTTACAATGCGGATATCCCATGGTTTGCTGCCAATCGCTGTTATAAGAGATATTATTCACATGGCCCATTGAGTTGTATATATTTTACCCTTGCAACGTTAAGAGTATTTTGCCTCATTGTATAAACTTTACAGGAGTTTGGCTTCACCCAGTGTTACTGCAGACACGATGGGCCGAATGACTCCCCTCCCCGTGTGTTGAAAGTTCCTATGTTTCTAGGTGTAGATTTAAATCCATTTGTATGTACATTAGCATTAAAATGGGATTATATGTATATATCGGATATTGACAAGCGCACCTCCATTCTGCAGTTATGGAGATCTGTTTTTCAGAGATCTGTGTTTATTTGAGATTGCACTACTAATACTGTTACAGGGTTATCGACAACGTCACTTGTTCCGAAAATGAATGTTTTTTAAATATATATAAAAAACAAGCGTACGATTCAGCGGATATGCAATACTGAAAATGTGAAATACTAATCTCTCATTCGTTCACTTTTCTGACATTTTTAATATTTCTGTTATTCAATCAATGTTTTGGGGTTCTGATAAGAAAATATGTGTCTGGAATTTCCTCCTCACTGGACGAATGTACTAACGACAACACTGGAGAAGGTTTGCCTTTTCAATTGCTTTTAGCCCCCGTTTTTTAGCCGAAATCTCTTGATAATGAATGTAAGGTGAATGCGAAGCACTGTGTGATGTGATGACGGGATTCAGGTTTTGCTGAGTTTGTGATCACTTTTGGGTCTCAGCCTCATAAGCGAGACTCCCAGTGTGTTATTGTACATTCGCAAACCCTCGTGTTAAAACTACCTCATTGCAATAAAATCGATTAATTATTATAAAACGAGTGTTTCTTGATTACTTTCATAACCAATGGTCTCCCAATAAAGGACGAGTTAAAGATTGTGCATCTGTCCAGAGTTAATCTTTGAAGGACCTGTGATATCCTTGACAATATAATTATCAAGATTCATGTTTCGTTTCCTTTAATTATTTCACTCTGATCATTATAAAGTATTCCATCCTCCAGTTGGTAATCCGTCTGCTGTCAGATCCACTATTAAATAAACCCATCTACCAATCCAGGCCAGTGCTAGTTGCTTTTGAAAATCTGAAACTGATATGAAATTGACCAAATGGTAATTGAGAAAGGAATTGGATAAAACTTCCCTACAACAGATATCCCATTAACGACAGCTATTAATTAACAAATAGTTCATCCAATGAATGTAAACATTAATCGAATTTCAAGAAAACGTTCTTTTGGGGTATATATCTTTCATGAACTGCATTAAGTAAATAGTACTTGGCGATGTCTCTTAAAATAATTGTATAGAGAGAAGCGAGGAATGCAACAGCAAACTCCGGATGTCCCCCTGACCTTTTTACCTCCAAACGCCTCTGGGATTTACAAACAAGTCAACAGAGTCCCCTGAAGATGACACCATTGTCCCCTTTTCAAACAAACAACTTCTAACTTTCCAAAAACGCTATATTCTGAGAGTCAGATAAATGCACTGATAAATGGATACACCAGGTAAGAGTTAGGACTAGTGAGACTAAACATGATCAATAGGTACTGAGAAATACAATGTCTCAATGTATAAAAAGCAGGTGATCGTTTGAAAGTATCTAATAAACCAGAATGGGCTCTGATTTTATCTCTCTTGATTTTGCTGTCTCTTTAATAACAGAACCCTCATTAAAGCGCCCACACATTGATTTAAAATAGGCACTTTACATCACTCACTACTTCAATAAACAGCTTGTGTCTTGGCTAAAATGCTCGTTTTCCTTTTTGTGCGACAGCCCATGTTAAATTCAGAGAGAGCTCGTTTTTATTTGGAGCTATCTAAATAGACTTAATTTGACAAATAACCCTCTGCGTATCTTGCAGAGGTGCGCGCACATACACACACCTACACTCACAAAACCACGCATACACATATACTCAGTAACGTGTACTCGTAGTTATAAAGTATCTTGCACACACAGTCTCACAAATATCACCATGAAACGATGCAGTCACATATATACACTCACAGACGTATTTACAATATCAAACACGCAACTATATTATATACACTGATTAACGTAAACACATGTAAAGTCACAAACACTTGTATACGTACACCGACACATTTGGGTGTATTTTCATGCACGTTATATATAATATATGTATAATAATCCTTGCATTTGATATAGTGCCTTATCACATCTTCGAGACGTCTCAAAGCACTTCACAGTATATACTGTAAAGTGAATTGACTATATTTTGTGGGCGAAATATACAGTTTGTGTGTATGTTATATATATATATGTATAACATATATGTAGCATATATATGCTACCTATATATGTTACATTTATTCATACAAGCAAACCTTTCGCTCCAAAATTCAGCCACGAAACAAAATAAATTTACAGCTCTCTGCCCAAAGTATAACTCTTGTCATTCAGACCTGCTGTTAATTTAACATGATAAATCAGTGTCACAGAGATCAACAGGCCTCAGACTGACTGCCTGCAGGATGACGTTTTCAGTTTGCTGAGCAAAACACAGGAGTGTCAAAGCGAACGAAAGTTTGCATTTGCAGCACAGGCGGGAAAGTAAAATGTATTTTAACAAAACGCTGAGATAGTTATTCACTGTGAGGCTCAGAGCAGTTGTATAAACGTTTGCGTTTCAAGTCTAAATTCTCGTGCACCGATTAGCATTCGGCACTGCGACATGTTCACACGTCTCTCGGTGATGCTACAAAAGCTCCACCGAAACCGCCTGTGCGAACAATACATTTCACTCGTATGTATATGTTAAGGAACAATGATGTAACCCGGGAATCGGTGCTGATGTGGCTTCTGGTGTTCAGCATAACAAAAGATAAAAAGCGACTCCCATTGAAATCCAGAAAGTGTCTCCGGAAACAACTGCAAACTACTGTACTTCTCCCCGGCACCGGCACCGGGTTTAATTGTCGCCCAAACTCGGTAAACATTTAAGTTTTCGAGAATTAGGAACCGGCCCAACTGTTCCTCGATCTCCCTTCTGATGAAGCGCTGTCACTTATTCAACACAAGTTAATTGTTAGTCTCAAAAGTCAGCCTTTTGTTTTGTTTCAGCAAACGGGTGATCACTCGTTTAACCCCTTCCCCTCTCGTAAGCATTTCAAGCATTTGGGAAACGGGTATTGGCCCATATTTCGCAAAGCGATTGTTTGGGAGGTATAATTCGTTTAATATTTTAGGAAAAGTCATATAAGACCCCCCCTCTCTCTCTCTCTCTCTCCCCCCCCCAAAAAAATAATAAAAAGTCAACTATTGGCTTTGGAGTTCACCTCCAGTAAACTGGAAATAAAGGGACTTCGGACTCTCTTAAAGTCTTTGACAACTGTAGGACGATTTTTTTTGTGTGTAAAAAGAAGCGATTTCAAAGGGTGAAGGTTGTTCTGAGCGGACAGGGCCCTCCGCCATCTGCTCCTCACAACTCAGTGTTAATTGCGCTTGTTTTGTAAGCGCGTTTGCCCTTCCCATGTGATGTGAAGTCAACTCCACTCATAACATTTCCCAAGGCTTCTTTGATGGCAAGTGATCTTTTTTTGTCATCCCTGTTGCTGAAGTTGGAAGTGTTTTACTATTTAAACTCTTAAACCTGACATTAATATTCAACTTGCATTTGTTCAAGCAAAATTGGGGTGGGATGGGGGAAGGGCGGGGGGGGGGGGGAGCTGGAAAAAAGAGCCACTGGTTGTCTCAATTCTCTCAACGTTTCAGTTCCCGCACCGAATTTAACGCATTATTCGCAATAAAATCTCAACTTCGTCTTTTCGGCACCAAATGGTAATTTTAGCTTCGACAATGTGTACAGCGCTTTTTAATAATGATAATAATAATAATACTCCTTGTATTTGATAGATCGCATTATCACGTCTTCGAGACGCCTCAACGCTCTTCACAGAACTTAGTGTAAAGTGAACTGACTGTGTATTTTGTGGGCGAACTTGCTTTGTAAATTATTTCGGGGCAATCGCTGGGAGTGAATAATAATAATAATAATAATAATAATAATCCTTGGATTTGATAGAGCGCTTTTCGCGTATTGTGGACATCCCAAAGTGCTTCACACTAAAGAATGATTATTGTTCTTCCAAAACCAGTAAAATGTGAGCAATACTGGAAGACATCGGGGGCCAAATATCATTGTACTATAAACCACGAGGAAAACGTCGCCTTTACCAAGTATGTAACATGGAGTGTCCAAAATATAATGTGGATCTCTATTGTTTTACATGGTTCAAGGTCTTAGTTCGGTCTTATCCTGAGCTGTTATGTTAAAATATGCCAATTCTAAATCAAGACTGATCTAACACTTTAATGAGTTATTGAAAGATGATTCGACAACAGCAATGTAGAAATCAGTCCCATCTTATTACGAGTGAAACATTTGGTAACACCCAATGAATGATTGGTGTCCTGCTTTAAGGACCAACATCTGAAAACAAGGAGATGTAAATTTCAGTAGCCAGACGAGCTGGAGGAAACGGATTTTTAAACTAAACTGAACTCCATCATTCAACCGCACGCCCTCATAAACACACACACACACACACACACTCGCTTGAACGATGAGTTTCAACTCGTGTTTGAAGAGAAGGAGTGGGGGGCGCCCATGACAGCGAGTTTCTCGTTTTAATTACTGATCACCACAGGTCCCTTTGTCTGGAGCACAGGTGAGGGGAGACTTTTACACTGAAAAGGATGCGGAAGTATCTGTACGCTTTTCAGCTCCTTTAAGTTTACATTTGCTTGACAGGACCATTTCAGCCAAACCATCAGAAGGACTCCTTCC